AACCCAACCTGAGCCGTTCGACTCACTGATGGAGGTGGCTGCGTAGCCATCGGAGGGAGAGCGGAATAGGAAGAGTGTACGGAAGTACAACCTGTGGGTTGGCCAATGGTAACTTGGCGCTCCTGGGAGCGTACCGGTAGCGAGTATGATGAGGGCTCCTTGAGGGAGCCACCTGGCTGTCTGCTAACGGGGACTTGGCGCTCCTGGGAGCGTGCCGGTAGCGGGTGTGCTGGGAGTGTTTGGCTAACGGTGACTTGGCGCTCAATGGAGCGTGCCGGTAGTGAGGGATACTGGGACTCCCAAAGGGAGTCACCCAGATGGTGGCTATCGGTGACTTGGCGCTCATGGGAGCGTACCGGTAGCGGGAGTTGTTGGGGAAAGCGGGTTGGTGGACCAGTGCACGGTAGTGGGTGACCGTGGGAAGTGGGACCCGCGGGTGTGTGGCCAGGCATCCTGGAGCTGCCTGGACCATATCCCTCTCCTAAGGAGGTGGGATAGGCTACAGTTCCTGATAGGGAACTTCTGGTTGGATGGGAGTGATTGCTCAACCACCCGGTGGACTGGTGGGAGCGGGCAGCAGGAGGTTGGACATGGGAATGCCCTCCTCGTTGCGGTTTTGTCATGGAGAGGATGAATAGGGAGGTGGACATGGTTCCAAGGTTACAGGTTGAGTTTACAGTGGTGGCACAATGGTGAGGATGTTACAATTGCGGTACAAGGTTTTTGGGTTATGTATTCGATAATGAGAAAGCATTTTTCGGCATCTGCCTTACACATCATATGACTTCTAACTATCTAATATAAAAGTCACAATGGTCAAGGGAAGTCCCTTGAAACTCAACAAATTCCCCAGCCAGCACCAAAACCCAGTGGGAAAGCTTGGCATGGGGTTTGACAGCGAAATAAAGGTGCAGGGACCAAGGGTTTGATTGTTCATAGTCATGGACCATAAGATTCTAGGTCCATTCCTATAACATACCATCTATCTTCGTGTTGTTGAGCTCCCTTGCTAAAGCTTGTACAGTCCCACGATCATCATGGCTGACATGTACTAATAGCACAGCGGCCGCTCTTTCAACTGGGTCGGGTGAGAAGGTCGCTTCGTTGAGCTGGAGAAATATTTCAGATGATTCCTATCATATACATGTCCAACACACCATTTGGGACACATGGTTTGTGCGATGGAACTCGCAGAAGAACGACACCTCTAATTGACCAAAGCCATGATTGTTTGATTTGTAACTCTTGAGGACTTTGTTGAGATGCTCGAAGAGGAAGGTCCAGAAGCTGTACATGGGTCCAAAGTCTCGCATGAACTCTGCAGTGTGCACGGCATAGTGATGATTGGGTTTGATCATATCAGGACCAAAAATCTAAATTTCCAAGTGTGATGTACGTTGGTGACCAGAAAAATAGGAGACTTCACCTCATGAACACCTTTGAGATAATCAATCATATACTTTTCGCCCTCAGTGATCTGCGTCTCAGTAATTGTGCAGGATAACCAACACTTCAAAGCCCTCGTGAGGTTGGAAAAATTCTTGGGTTCATCGGGATGCAGATTGGAGGACAAATCTGCAGACAGCACAGCAGCAGTTTTCTTAGCTGAACGAGTTCGCGACTTGGTTGACTTCGAAGAGTTGGTAGTGGCTTGCAAGATTGATGTGACCGCATGCAACGAAGACTCTGTGGTTCTGGTTGGAATTGACTAATGTTGGAGTGAGTAGACGCAAGGCTGCAACATCACCACATACCGATGAGTCAGCCACCAATTCCTTCCATATCTTTGCTTGGTGATGCCTGTCTTTTGCCTCTTTCTTGTCCTGAGCTTTCTTGGCCAGATGGTCATTGATTAGCTGAGACCGCGCCTCTCGTGCATGCCTGGTATCCGTTGGGAGATGTGTGTCCCATATCAAAGGTACCTTCATGAGGATATTAATTAACGAAAGATGGGAGTAGTAACAGATAGTTCGATACTTACTGTGACTGGACCAAAAACTGTGGCCATCAGCATCCATTGATCCACTGTGAGTGAACCTCCTGCTGGCTCTCCAACGGCGGACGGGAGTGTGGCCATGTGTCCCGGAACTGTGAACTAATGCTCAGGTGAGCTTGATGAGAGTGTGCATTGGTATCGGAAGAGAGCGAGACTTACCTTCAAAAGAAGTGCGTGAAGCTGGTTGAGCTCGTGCTTCGGTCGGAGGATATTCTGAGCGATCCACATATGATAGAAATGATTTTTGCTAAGACCTGAAAGACGTCTAATCAGTCTGTGAGTGCAACTCATTGTCTCTGCATGCATCCTACCGAGAATGAGGTTATGCATTGGATCGATCACTATCATCCGGCACAAGTCGAAATAGGGGAGGCGAGAAAGTTCGGACCAGCGATTAGAGTGTTGTTTGGCATGTTTCTCCTTCGAAGCCTTTGTCCCAAGATGGAGGTATATTTCACCCATTCTTCAATGCTCGGCATTAGTACAGAGTGGGAAACCTGAGATTAGTCAAAAGGGTATGAGAGCGATAAGCCTGATACGACGTACCTCCAACCTGGAGTGCCACTAACTCGTGTTTTTGAGAGAGAGTTACCCAGCAGCGAGTACAAAACATGGTATGGCTATGAGAGCCGAATCCACCAAGCTTATGCGCTGCTGGTGCATCGCACACAACGCACAGAAGTACCGCACAAACACGTCTCCCGTAAGGTGACTTGGCAGTTTTTATGACGATTCCATCCTCCCACAGGTGGAGAAGATCGTTGATCAATGGTCTCATGTAGCATTGGACCTGGTCTGGGCTGGGCTCCTTGGGTCCAGGAATGATGCCCGTCAGAAAGAGGTTTGACGTTTTGTACCTAGTAGATCGTTAGGCAAATCGCGAAGGGAAAAGAATATCTTACTTGAGATGAGGAGGGAGGTTCGCAATGCAGAGCGACATTGGACCCGATGAATGAGATGCAGACTGCAAAGATCGACGATAAGAGAACCTAGTGAACACACAGACTCAGGGGCTCATTTTTGATATAGACCGAATGAGAAGTAGTACTCACCAATCAGCGCCAAGAGTGAGTCCAATGCGAAGTTCGCCACCAGGACCATTCATGCGATCCTCGGGTTCATTGTGAAAGAATGGGCACCCATCGGGGCCAAGCAGAGATCGGGCAACACGGCCATCAAAGATATCCTGAAATATTCCAAGCTCTGGATGACGGTCAGGAAGTGTACGCCACTCATCTAATAATTCTTCAATCCCATGCTCTCGCAGTAACTCTTGTAGCTGTTTGCTGACCGATTTGAAAGCGAAACGCAATGTGGGCTCTCGTTGCTTGGGTTTTGCACCCTTACCATGTTTATCAGTGCTTTCTTCAAATAAAGGGACATCCATGTTGTTGCGTGCACATTTGATGCAGGATGCCGGTGTGGATTCGTGAGCAGGATAGACTTCCTGGCAGACAGGACATATGGGAAGGACTTGAAATGTAGGATCTATAGACATGTGTGAATGGACAGTCGTTAGCGAAACGGCAGAAACAGAGGAGGGATCGAGATAAAAGTTAGCTGCGCTCAAAATGAGTTGAACCACAGAAAGAATCGCCCCTATGACCCGAAACGATACATGGTGAACAGCATGCAGCCAAATAGCCAAGAGATACAGAATTCGGATCGGTGCCAAATGGTGGGTTTCAGCATAAGGTGTGCGGCGCGGTGTGTCAGTGAGAGAATGGAATGGGTCCGGGGAATTCTTGTCCACCTCACTGGAATGAGGCACCTGGCGAATCAGAGGTATGAAGGTTATGGAACTATTTTCGGGAGAAAGTAGAGGGGGGGGGAGGACTGAGCTGATCTCGTCACGAAATGCGGATTGAGAATGCAAAGGGTTGACACTGAAATCCGACTCGTCATCGCTGAGAATCCCGGACCCATTATCTGAATCCTCCCTGTTTGGGAGGGCATCATCAATTAAAGGAGATATGGCACCTGCATGGTCACAATCGAATCCAGGGAGTGGTGGTGCTAGAAGTACATCAGGCTCAGGACCGCAAGGATCTGGTGGTGGCGGTGGAAAGGTTGTAGGCGGATTTTCGGGTAATTCCGGCACATTGCAAGGGGAAGTTTCCATTTCCACGATCGAAGTACTAGAGCTCATAGCTAGGTGTGATAGGTCCTCTAGTAGATCGGGTGCATTGCAGGGAGGGTTTTCCATGTTCACGGTAGTACTGGTGGAAGTAGACGATTGAATCCCCAGGACATCTGAAGAATATCGATCGTGGCTAGCACGCTGCCTTTCAGCCTTCTGGTGATCAGCCCACATCTGGTAATGCAGCGCTTCCCCTTTGGTGCCGCATCGATAGCAATAGCAGAGCTGAATGAAGATCAGTTGTTACTAATCAAAAAGACCAGCACCACATGTACTGGACCTTAGTTTTGGGCATCGGAAAGAACTATTAGATCTTCCATTGACAGTAGAACTGGCTCTTCACAGGGTAGAACGCACCGTGATTGATAGAGAGTGCTCAGTGTTCAGAGCGCAATGCAAATCGGTGAGAGTACTTCACGTTTCGTGGTTTGATGGTGTCCGGAGATATGCGGTTTTCGGCTTAGTTGTCACGTGATTCGTTTTGGTTCCGCCCTTGCTCGTTGCCCGAAAACATGGCTCAACAAAGAGTGCACCATATCTCAGCAACCACATAAGCTAGTCACTTTCGGTTTGCTGCAAAGCGTTTGTACATTTATTACGCTCGGACCTTTTTTAGCGATAACAATAATTTTTATTTTTCATGATTTAGGTTTTACTCCTTTTACACGATTTTCTCGACAACGGCTGGATAGAATGGGCTGTAAATTGGGTGGAGATAAGTCTAAATGTGTCCCTCAGGACTTTTTTTTCTTTAGTAAATATGTTGCGTTTTGAGTTTTTTATCACCAAAAGAATTTGTTGAAACGACAAAATATCATTCCTCTATGTTGGCAGACATCTACATGATCAGAATGAAGACTAGTACTAGTGTGCCTCAGGAGGGCCAGGCAGGGATTCGCGAGCATTTAAAAACATATTGTTAAATTTTGACCAAAGTGTTGAACCCAAATTGAATAACCCGGCAACATCTAGCGGGTCTTCTGTAGGATCTAAATTCGCCATGCATGTGCCCAACGATATCAAGTCGACTTTATTCCACGGACCTGGAGGATCCAAGACAGGAACTTGCTGATGTTTGGGAAGGTGCAGCTGTCGTTGATACATGGGGTTTGCTTGCACGGCCGCAAGGTATGCCTGAACATAGTCTTGAAGAGCTTGAAGCAGATCTCCTGTCTGGAATGGGGAACCAACCAGTGTAAGAATCACAAACTGCTTAAATTGTATACTCACCAATATGTCGTAAGACAAGCCTGCCCAATCCCCGATGGGGTAGCCCCCATATTCGGAGCTTTCGTGCACCATAAAAAGCCCAATAGCACGTGGAACAACCTCAAAGTCAACGTCCTCATGGTATGAGATCAAGCCATCCTTAACACGGATCCATAATCCCTCGGAAACCCACATAGGTTCCTCTCCTGAGGCGCCAACCCAGCGCTGATGAACAATCTTGCTGCTCATACGCTGATCGACCGAGTACGGAACACCGTGCCACTCAGACAGTGGCTCAAAGAAAGACTTGTAATGCACTGCATGGACGGGTTTTGGTGCCTGCAATATTGGACTTTATCTTATATATAGGAGTTGAAATCGAATGATCAACGCACCTCAATATTGTGAAAAGTTTTCCTTTTGTAGGACTTAATGATGATGCAATCTTTAAGGCATTGTCCTGTAGATTGACAGATCCTGAAAACCTCCCGTTTCCAGCCAGCTGGCAGATCAACGATGCCGTGGCATTCATTTCCCTAGGGAGGGTAAGAAATTAATGGCCTAAACCCACAATATCTTCCTGCATGCTTACGATTTGTCCAGTATATTGAGATGTAGACGCAAACACGCGCCCCTTTCTGAATGACTGAGTAGCAAGGATAGAATCCTGCGGCAGTACATAGTACTGTTGGCATGGAAGGGTGGAGTACTGCATTGAACCAATATGTACAATAAGTTGGTCATGGCTCAAAAGACGGTTATTATTTGGGCCGGGAAGCGGCTTTAATCATCCACCTGCCATCATTGCGATAAGAGCCGAGTACTATGTGTAGAGCGCAAGCAGACCGTGGATATATATAGAGACATATTCTCGAGGCCGAATAGAACATGAAAAGTACAGAGATGAAGAATAAGACGAGGAATAGTACAGAGATGAGGAGTAGCTAGCGAACAGGACAGCCACCACGTGAAATCCCATCATGAATAGAGCAGCCAACCCAGGGACCTGGGATTTTACAGCGAACAACGCAGGATTAGCACAGCTCGTGCATTATTCAGTGCAGAATAGTACCGTGAATATTTTTCCTCTAAACGCAGTGAATGCTGAGGAAATTTCCTGAGTGCTCCAGGTGTCATTTGCCCTTTCTCTGCTTTGCAGGTGATTTCCATTTTTGGGCAGAAACTGGTTTTGCGATCTCCCAACCCATATTCTCAACACTGCCACTCTCACATGTTCTTCGACATAGTGTGGCCACAGTAGGTCAGAGAAGCATGACTACCATTACTTCACCAGACTGATTGGCCTGAAACTTTCAAATCACTAGATCCTTTTTATATATTTTATATGTCAAATTTGTTATGGGTTTTCAATCTGGATATTGCATGAATGTTGGTTTTCCCTGCACTTTGACCTTAAAGCCATTCAACTGTTTGATGAATTGTGTGAATGTTTTTCTATGAATTTTTGCAAACCTCAAGAACTGATCTCCCTCCCTCCAATGAACTTTTAAATTTGTCTCAGCTGTCATTATTTCTCCTACAACACTACTCAATATTTCCATCATTTGATTTGGCTAGAGTTGGATACAAAAATTCCCATCACAAGGTGGCACAGCAGCCATTCTAGTTGCTTGCTAAATCCCCATTTTTGATCCACTATCATAACTTCCCCCATTCATTCATATTTACTGGAAGCAATTGTGACATTTTTGGAGAACCAACTCAGGGAGGATGCTTCAGTTTTACTCAAGGACCTTTCAACTGCACTCCATAGTGCTGTTTGTTAGTTGATATATCATGATGAGTGATCTGGATGTGAGAACTTGAAAACATCATCTCCATAAGTCTGCTGTGTCTTCTTTGACCCTTTCTTGATAATTGTCACCACCCCAGCCACAACCTCAGCACCCTCCACACCTTTCCAGAATTCTACATTGAAGTACTGTATCCACACAATGTGAGGTCTTAGGGTGGCTCAGCACACAAGGCCGTAAGTGATACAAGATAGTGTATTTTACGGTGGTGTGTAAGCGGTTACCCGGAGGTTCCTGCTTGCCCACGTGACTATGTGTATCTAATTTACATGTGACTCGGGGTTTGGGGCTATTGCCCTGACATTCTCCCCCTTGCGTTGCATTTGCGACGCATACAAGGTTGGTAGTAAATAAAACAGAGTTTTAATAGTTAATTTACATTGAGTTTGGAATCATCAATGAGTGTTTTTTTGTTGTCGCCACTTTAAAGTGGGTGATTTTGTACATGTCGGTGAAAGGAAGAGAGGGGGTTTAAGGAATGAATGAGTGTGGGCCGTTACTTTGAAGTGAACGGCGATACATTGGTATCGCAGGGAGAGAAGAAGAAAGAAAGGAAAAAAAAAGTGGAGTTTGTCGAAAATGAATTTCGACCCAAAGGTTGTATGTCTTTGGTGTTCCTCACTTGTTCTGTGAGGGTTCGTGTGTAAGTGGTGTTTACACATGAGCGGTGGTGGATGTGGGTCTTTTGACGGAGTGGAGATTTCCGCAATTGTTACTTGCGGTTCCTCGCATACAGTATTGTGTGCGGGGCCTCGAGTTCGGGGAAGGTGTTTTCACAGGCGCCTCGATGGCGTATTACCGTGTCACTTTCCCTTCTCTCAAGGGTGGATTCATTGCCCTGGAGGAGGGTTTTCCTCCGGGTTGTTCATCTGGACATCCTGTTAGAATGGGCGGACTCGGACGACTCCGGAATGGAATTGGAGACTTAGCGTGGAAGGACCTCGGCCTCAGTGACTCATGCGGAGCGCTGTGCCATTGCTGGTTGTCCTAGGGGTCCCTAATTTCGGATCTAGCAGAGGGAAAGTCTCTTGGGGGGAATTCATGTCGATTTCGGACCGAGGTTACAAGTTACTAAGTACATTGTATATAAGGAGGGGTCCGGAATCAAAAGGAGCGAGGGTAGGGCAAAAGGAGACAAAGGGAGATGGAAAGAGGAACAACACCGAGGGTCAAGGGTTTTGACTCAATGGTGTTTCTCAAAGGAGGAATGAAGGGCCAAGACCCAAGGAGGAAGGAAGGAGGTTGGGAGTGGGGAATGGCTAGCTGATTGAATAGAAAGGAAGCAGCAGCCCAAATAGGAATGAGGGAGTATAGCGGAATTGAATAGGACAATGCAATAGTTGCAAGGTCCGAGGTAAGTCCGGAAAGTCCGAACTCGGAAGTTAAACTCCGGAATATTGGCAAAGGCAATTAAATGGAATGAGCTAACCAATACAATGGGTATAAGCGGAGGTGGGGTCAAAGTCCGAGGTCGGAGCTAAGACCGGAGGTTCCGGAGATGGAGACGCGAACGGGATTCCGGAGCGGAGGTCCGGAGTCGGGAGCATAGGTTTTGCATGCTCGTCTGGAAGGTGTCGAGGTTGGGGTCGGACCCGGAATGTTCCAGAGTCGGACCGAAGGTGGTGTCCGAGCCGGAGGTGGGATAACCTCTTGGGAGTCGGCAAGGAGAAGGTGACGGAAGGGAAGTAGGGCTCCGGAAGTCGGAGTTCGGAGTTCCAGGAGCCCGGAGCGGAGGTCGGGATTGTATGGATATGACAGAGCCGTGCTATTATGGTTCGTTTCCTCGATCTTTTTTTGGATCGAGTTTATCGCGTTTATTATGCGCGATTCCTGGTTTTCCAGGAGGAAGTTTGGTTGGGCGAGCAGTGACTCTCCCCAGTTGACATTTCCGCTTCTGGGGGTTCCAGAATGGGTTCTTGGAGTGAACACTCCATGCTCGCTTTGTTTAGGCAAGGCCGTTGCGGAGGGTGCTTCCCTTTCATAGAGGGGTCTGTTCGCTGGTTTCTCCTTACTTTTACGTAAGGCTTCCTCAGCGAACTCCCTCATTTCAGTTCGCCTCCTCTTCATTATCTCGGAGACCTCCTCCGAAGTTGGCGACCTTGCCTTGTCTAGCATGGTGTGTGGGAGTGTAAACAGCGGAAGTTCTTTTGGAGCTTCCGCGCTCTGGGAAATCCTGCTCTCAGGGCGTATTTTCGCGCCTTCTTGGGCTTTCAGCCTGAGAAGAAGTTGATCTTCACTTTCCGTCCTCCATTCAGACGGAACCTGGAACAAGTCCAGTAGTTTTTCGGATAGCCATCGCAGGGGCTCTTCCCTTTGTTTCCCTTTGTCTGCCTTTGGGGCTTGACTTGGGGACGTGAGGGGGGACTCCAGGGGATAGTGGGGCCCTGGAGTTTCCTGCGACTCTATCTGATCAGCTTTTTGGGCTGATCGTTCGGCGCTTACGCGTTTTTCGCGCAAGTCGATCACCTCGTGAGGAGGTGATGGATCTTCCCCAGCTTGGGTTAGATCGGTATGTTGTGGAGTTCTGGGGGTATTTTGCCCCGCACTTACTCCACGTAAGTTTCTAAATCCTTCAGGGACCAGCCCTGAGGTGGTTGCTATTGCCGGATCATGTTGATCCTCGTCGTCGTCTGACGACAGCTTTTGGTTTGAATCTCCCTTGATGGGAGATTGCGGTTTCTTTATAAACCGCTCGTTTCTTTTTAGTGTTGCTGCAGATGCGACCTTGCCCTTGTGGGCGTGTTTAGGCGCCATAGGCGCTTCCGAGTCAGATGTTAAGATTGTGTAGTTGTGGGTTGTGTTGTAAAACACACCTCATGCACTTAAAAAAGTGTGAGGTCTTAGGGTGGCTCAGCACACAAGGCTGTAAGTGATACAAGATAGTGTATTTTACGGTGGTGTGTAAGCGGTTACCTGGAGGTTCCCGCTTGCCCACGTGACTATGTGTATCTAATTTACATGTGACTCGGGGTTTGGGGCTATTGCCCTGACATTTTGTCAGCTGCAATCCACTGGAGCTTCCTTTGCATGCCAAGCTTTGGCCACATCACCTTGAAGATATCAAGGTCAATGCCCTCAGGCCCCTTCTTGGCCCCAGTGGCTGACCACCACAGAGTCAGCATCCACCCTGTCCTTACCTGGACATTGAGAAGGTACTGATATATGGGCACCAACTTTTCTTCCCCTGATGCCATGACTTCAATGACATCCTTGTTTCACACAAGAAGCTTGATGACAAAGCTCCCCATGCTTTCATCTGGCTCCAAAACATCTAAAAAGCTTTTTGTCAGTTTGCATATGAATTTCATCTTTTCCTCTAATCCTTCAGATATCTCCTCTGACATCACCATATCATTGACCACCTTGCCTTCCACTGCTTCCTTGTGCTTCTTTACCTCACCTGCTACAGGTGCGTATGCAGCCTGTAATGCTGCAATTCTGTATGAATAATAATAATAATTGTCTAATTCTTTATAGAGAAAGAAAGTGTCATATCCTGGAATCCCAACCCTGCACTCTCCCACCCCACTACACTTTCCTACCAACCTTGTCATCCCCTACATGATTCCTCCCCACTTCCCAATGTCACCTTCTGTCCCAACTGTCTCAGCCCCGGCCTGGACTTCAGCACATTCGCCCTTAGCCACCTCCATCCTGGAAGCTTGGTCCTCTGGATCGCTCCGACCTCCCGTCGGACCTCCGACATCTTGTTACATACTTCTAAAATCTTCCATTCTCTATTTCATTTAGTGGAGTCGCCCAACATTCCTTGGATATGTAACTCTGGCTTTGGAGCTACCTGTATCCCCCAGTGACCCTGCTCTCATCATCTTAATTAGTCATCTTCCACTTATAGTACAACTGATGTCTTCTTTCCATTCAGTCGGCTGACTTCCCCTTA